GAACCATTTTTGTGTAATTCCTAAACTCTGAACTGTTTAACATTTCTCACTAATGTACACCCCATACCAGGGCTAATCCACTGCAGGAATGAAAAACAGCTTCAAAAGTTATTTGTGGTCATTCACATTGATCTGACACAGACACATGCTTACCCTCACTGTCCTGGACAGGAGAAGGACATTTTTCACTTTCTGTGGCTGGCAAAGATGACCTTTCCTTGCTCTCCAGAAGCATTAAGATGCTATGGACACAAATGTGTCCAGTGTTAACCTCTCCAGAAGATAAGAAACATGCTTCTCACTGTCCTGCAATGATGTACCCTGCTGGTTTGACCTTCTTAACTTGGTGAATCAGTCCTTTGTGTGCTACCAGAGCTAAAGAGGCTCAACAGGAACAGCAAAAAGCATGTGAAATGTCTTTCTGGTTCTCTACACACCATCATGGATCTGAACTGAAATTCACTTGACTTCTTTTTCAGTTGTACCGAGTTGGTACATGTGTCTTGTTTCAGCAGAGGTTGCATTAAGCAATTTACTAACCCAGGAGATTTTTAGCCTCCTGGAGGCTGCTGCCATCCCTGACCTGTAGGATCTTAAAAAAAAATAAATAAATAAATAAAAGAAATCTTTAGCCATTGCCTTTAGAAATTAATGCTGTCAGGAAACATACAGCTTAGTGACAGTGTTTTTCTCTATGTCCTACTCACATAACCTTTTTAAGGGTGAATTTAGTAATATCTAATTGATCTAGTTAGCCCCTTCTCTTTGCCATATTTTCACAACAGGGTGACCAGCATCTCTCCTTCCCCACAATATGATCTGCAGTCCCTGAGGGAAGATCATGACACAGGGCAAAACTCTGGTTCAGATTCAAAGTTAAGCTTCAGCTAAATGGAGGTGAGCCTGACAATGAGCCTAAGAACTTCCTGAAGTCTGCAGTGGTGATGATGTGACAAGGGAGCAGATTGGATCAGCTTCCTAGTATAATTTTTTAAAAAGACCAACAAACAAATAAAAAGCAGATACAAACAAAACAACAGCCACAAATTAGAAGTGAAAATTCATTGCTGGTACAATGGCAAGTCAGCCAGTTGTAAAATTGAGGCTTAAGTGCTAGATAGATTAACCTGAGAAATATTCTTTAGAGAGTTCAAGGGGCTTTTTTGCTCTCAGTTATGCTGAAGTCAAGGAATTAGGTCCATTGTCATTACAAGAAGAATTTCACCTCAATTTTTCAGTGCAGCTGCAGCAGGCTGAAGTGGACCAGCAAGATACTCAGAAAGCACCACCCCTGCAGACACACACAGACTCTACCCAGCTCCAGGCTAAATTCTTCCAGTGTCAGTTACAACATCAAAATGACAAAACCCGATGGTTTTGTTCAAGAGAACATCTTTTACTGCCTAGGAAGAGGCACAAGCCAGCAGGTGGTATTTGTTTTTTCCCTTGCTGCAAGAAGCCAGTCCCCTGTGCTCCAATTCCACATGGGATTCTTCCTGTCAGTTACGTGCAGCTCACTTCTGTGACAGCCCTGACACTCCAGCACTGAATGCACCCTGGGGCTGGGAAGGCAAAGCCTTCACCCAGCTCCTTCAGGGCTGCCACTGCCCCATAAATCAACTGGCTGGAATAACTCAGGTAGGACTTGATCCAAAGGCCACTGAAATCAGTGCAAAGCTTCCCACTGGCTGCAGGCTGGTACCTCAGGGCTTTATAAAACCCAGGCACGGCAGCCCCTCTGCCCCTGGGCAGCAGGACAAAGCCTCAGCTTTGCCACAGAGCAGTTAAAGATGTAGCACATCCCATCACCCCAACAGCTGGAGGTTTTCCTTTTTTCCTTTTTTTTTCCTGACCTCACACCTGACCAGTACAAACCAGATACAGAATGCTGCCAGATGGGCACAAGTTAACACTGCCATACTTTGTCCTGGACTTCCCAGGCTGTGCCTGAAAAGTCTCCTTCCCCCCTGAGGTACCTGAGCTGCTGGGTCCCCGCCAGGCTGAGCACATGCAATAAATCTGACAGCCTGGGAGAAAGCTGGACAGAGTCCCATATGTCTGCTGTTGGAAACATGCCCCCTAGACAGGTCTGCAGTGCTGCTCCAAACACATTGATAGGCCTCCAGAGACCCAGACAAATATAAATAGTATTAAAAAAAAAAAAAATCTGGCTGGACAACGTTTCTGGGTGGGCACAGTGAGCCTGTGTGGGGAATCCAGAATGTCTGGATGTCTGGAGTACCTTGAAATTATAAGAATTTAAAATGCAAAAAAAAAAAAAAACCACTTTGTTTTTGAGTCAGTGTCAGTTTTTGCCTCTGCATGAACTGTTAGCCACAGCATGTACCAGGGGTGAAATGCAATGCTGGCCTTCAAGAGACCAAATGAGTCCTCAGGGTCAGTCCTAAGCATATGAACCCAAAATGGCAGGGCTATACAGCACAACAAAGTATCATTTCCAACAGATTCCTAATGGAAAAAAAAAACCCAAAACACAAAGCCTAATGCCAGACCTCAAGGACTGAGCTTACACTGAGCTTCTGCAAAGATTGAATAGCTGGACATCAGTGGCTCCAGCATCACAGACACTTGGGAATCTGAGAGCTCCTGTGTCCTCACCACTCCTAACAGAGCCTCAGGGTCCGATGAAGGCATGATAACACCAAGCCACTCGGGCATGTGGTGCAGGAGTCCATGCTGCTACATTTTCACCCCTCAGTCTTTCTTGGGCACAGCATCCAGCTAGAAAAACAGGCTTCCAATGGATGATTGTCCCAGGAAAGGGCAAAATGCTGAGTTACAGCACTGCTGATAGCATGGCTGCTGGCATTTCTGGCTTTACTGCTGCACTCAAACACTAAACAGTGCATGGGAGACCTGGCAAGCATGTTACAGCCTACACAGATATCCAGCTCTCCATCTCCCAGCAGAAATGCCTTCAAGCAGTGCTGGATTCCCCACAGCAAGGCCACAGCCCACTGATGGGAGGGCTGGGGAAATGGCCTCTGCCCAGAACTTGTGAAGGAACATTTCCAACCTCCATGCTGTGCTTTAGGACTGCACAACCCACATCACAAAACACCTGGAAGTGTTCAGAGGCAAGCATGGCAAGCAGATTCCTGCAGCTTATGACATGTGAACGTGTTGTGGTCGTATTATTAAAGGCAAAGATGATCCCCAAATCCCCAAAAATCTGAATTTGCCAAAACCAATGCAGCATCACATATTCATTTGTTAAGAACAGCCCCAGTGCTGCTGCCCTTCCCTTTGAGTGAGCCCTGCAGTGGGGGCAGATGCCCAGCTCAGCTCCTGCCCCACTTTGCCCTCACTGGGGCAGGATTTGGGAGGTCCCAGCTCCCAGAGTCACATCCCAACTTGAGAATCAGGCTCTGTTATTGTTAAAGCAAACCAAAAATAAAAAGGCCAGACTAAATTATTTTTAAGATCCTGAGATTTTTAAAGAAGTCTTGTGACTTTTAAGGGCTCTGACTCATTGTATTTGAATGCTTGAAGCTGGCAGCAGCAAAGGGAGGACAGCAAGATTTAGCAGACAGTAATTTATTGTTGAAAGCCTTCAACTGTGTGGGAAAGGGCATGGAGCACATCTGCAGTGATTAGGGAGAAAAAGGGATGCAGGCCCAAGCCCTTCTCCTCCGGCCTGGCTGCCACCAAGCTACCCTCCTCCATGAAAACACCACACCAGACCCCAACAAAGCACCCCAGACAATAAAAGCCAATTCTCATTGGCAGGTTATGACATGGCACCCTGGATTTCACCTCAGATTTCAGCTTTCGTTTTTACACATGACCCCCTGGATTTCAGCTCCGGTGATGGCAAGGGCAGAGCCCACTATCCCCAATCCCTGGGGCTGTCCATGCCTGCCCAAACCAGCCACACCACATGGCTGATGCCCAGGTCACCCCCCAGCTTCTGAATCCTCAACAAGAGCCTGGAGGTCTTGAAAGAGAAGTCAAGTGGCATTTTTCTACAGAAACTCCCAAACTACAGCCCCTAACGTCCTCCACAGAGCACCCAAGGCCTCTATTCCCAACAAACTCCAAGGTCTCTTTCCTTTAACAGCTTTGCTCAAAGAAGAAGAAATGAAAATGAAGTCTCTATTCAGAATTAAGTACATAAATGAGAACAAAACATACTTAAACCTAGCTTTTATTTTTTTTTTTTAAATCAGTGCAGAATTAATAAGCTAAATCAAATCTTTTTATCACTGAAGGCATTTCAAAAATAAATGGAACCTTTCTCCCTGCTTAGACCAGTGTAAATCATGAAATTTCATTAAAGCAAACAGAACTGTACAGGTGTGAAATGGGTTTAGTTAATGAAATGTCATTGCCAGTATTTTCATGGTATTTCTTTCATAAATTGACATCATCATACCCACATCAAATTCTGCTCTCATTTCACCAAAGTAAATCTGTGACAACTGACAGCAAACGCTGCTCTTGCTGCCCACATAAAGTGACTGTAAATGAATAAAAAGCAACAGGCAATACAAACACAACAGCAACTGCCCAGTAAGGACAGACAATTCACACATAAGCTATACTACATATACCAAGTGTATCCCACCTTTCAAGTTATATCTTATAACTTTACCTTTAGTAATATCTGATAACTTTATCTTATAACAATCTTTCTTAACAATCTTATAACTTTATCTTTATAATATCTGATATAGAAATATCTGGCAAACACAATCCCTTCTGTACATCTGAGGATGAACTTTCCTTTCTGTGATTTCACGTGGCCATATTCCACCACCTTCACTGTTTACATTTATCCATGTAGCAAAATAACTAGGAGCTAGACATTTACAGCAGTCTAAGGAAATTAGACAATACACACCCCACAACATTAGCTAAAACTGGTTTTTGGCACATCTTTAGCACGAGGACTCTTTGGAACATAAGGCAGAAATTCTCATAGCCACTGCTACTCAAAGGCCAGGCACCAGCACCATTTTCCAGATGCAGTAACTCACCTCTCTGCTTCCAGGCGCATTTCCTCACGCTTTTGCCTCCTGAGCTCTCTGCGGCGTTCAAAGTCATCCATGGTGGGCGCTTAAGTGTTCCAAGTTCTGGGAAGATCCAAATCTAAAAGGGAGATGATCACTTAGATGAGAGTGAAAACACAAGGGATGCATCTAACCAACTGAGTCCATTTAGTTTTGTTTTGCTGTATTAGCTTCGCTGTAACTATTTTATTTTTCCATCAAAAAACTCAACTTCCTCAGCATTGTTGAGATAAACAAGATTAATGAAATGTCTTGTAGGATAAACATAGCCCGTGCCTGCGTTTAGTTTCCTAGTTAAAATTAAATCAACATGCTTCAAGTAAGGACTGTATACATCTGCTAGCCACAGACTAGCTATTTGTAACGTCACAGGTCTTTTCCACTAACAAAAGCAACAATTCAGCAGGATTTTTAACTTTCAGCTTCCAATTTTTCACCACAAGCAATAAAAGCACTGCACAAGAGAGTTCTTATTTTCTTTAGCTGCACAGATAATTAAAAGTTCTGCAAAAGTTAGTCCCCGTCTGGCTGTTCCCACCCCCACCTTCAGAAAAGCATTAAAAAAAGAAGTGAAAATGAGAGAAGAAAGAAAAAGAAAAGAGAAAAGGAGGGGGGGAAAGAAAAAAGAGAACAAAAAGAGAAACAAGAAAAATCAGCCGCTGCTTTTAAATACCACCCAGGGGAAGTCAAACTGTGTAAGAAAACCTGCTCAAAGAACGAAGAGCAGCAATACTTTTTTTGTAGCTGAATCCGCGCATTTTGCCCGTGCCCTACCTTCTTCTTTATGATTTAGTCCATGAAGTATTTTCCCCTTTACAGTTCTTCATATACAAAGCCTTTCCAGCCTCGGTTTATATCCCATCAAGCCGACTATTACAGAATTCCCCTGCAGCCCCCAAACCAAAAATGACTACCAGAAAAGGGAAAGCTGTTCTCTTTTTGTCCCTGCTTTGTTTACAGAGCTGTCAGTGGTTAGTTAAACTCTGCCTGGAATCTGGCATTTAAGGCCTGCTCTAAGATTGCTTCCTGTGCAGGGCTGGAGGCCTCAGCTTCCTCTGCAATCCCAGCCCCAGAGCTGCACTCGCAGCATTTCCACCCCCCACGTCCCCCCCAAAATCCGCGTCTTCCCAGCCCGTCACTCCGCGGGGAAATCCACCGCGCTAAAAAACTTCCAAAGGTGGCTCGGGAGCTGCTGGCGGCTGGAGGCAAACCAAGCCAAGGTGCGTTTGGGCATTATTTGAAGCGCTCTGTTTGCAGATGGAGATCTGTCTGGTGGCTTTATTTATGCTCCCGAGTGCCCTCCCCGTAAAATCACTGGCACCAGCAAAGCCTTGCATGGCTTCGGGGAATTTGTGGCTTTTTCTTCCCCCTTTTTTGGATTAAAACACTGCTGAGGGCCAGGGTTTTGTGGAGGTTATTTTATTAGTTTACTTTCCCTGGGGGTATTTTTCTTTTTGATTTGTTCCCAGATTGGGGGATTTAAATTTTTGATGTTGTTGACGTGATTTTCCTCGCATTTGTCTGGGGTTGTTTTGTGAAGATTCAAGGGAAAGATTAATTTTGCAAATCTGATAGAGACACTACAATTGCTGCTGCTTACCTTTTTTTTAAATTCAGTTAGACCGTGCATCTAAAAAACCGAGTTGTAAAAAGATTTTTTGCCAATCTTATGTTTACTCTTAGCACCAGGTACCCCTAGAAGAACCCAGAAAAACAAATTTTCCGTTTTCTCCTAAGAAGTGTTTCCATCTCAGCCCACATGTGCAGCTCAATCTGGCCCCAGTTTCTTTACTGGAAGACTGTGAATTGTAGGGCTGATGTGGATCCCCCTGGCTGGGAGACAAGGATCAAAGGAGGAATGGCACACTACAGAACAGGATCAAAGCAGCACGCTGGGTTTCTGTGCAATGAGTGTCCTCAGGAATTAAGACTTCACCAGGCAGCAGCACTTTGTGAAGCACAGTCACCATCAGGGATTTAAACAAAGAGCTGGCTGTTAGGATGACAGCTCACATGCTAGAAACAAGAATCCCAAAGCTTTTTCCTGCTTTGCCTCACCAAAGCAGACGTGCTTTGATATCTGATTTATGTGCACCTTCATCACCTCCTACCCAGCCAGGCACATCCCTCTCTGCATCTCCCAAGGCACACTCTTTCCTTCTGGGCTGCTCAAGGCTCTGTGCACCAGCATTACCCCCATGCCCTCTCCACATGGTCCTCAGCACCACCTCTCATCTCCAAAACCTCGAGCTCTTCCTCACTGAGGACGCCTGAGGAGGATAACAACAAGAAGCCAGAACTATTTCTGTTCTTCCTCTCCTCTTTTCCTTCCCAGGAGCACTGGGGAGATTGCCCAGCGGTGATAAGGAGTTCCCTGATGCAGCAAATTTTCCCTATCCTCAGGATACTTTTCTGACATGCAATGAAGATCAGATGGATGGATGTCTTGGGAGGATGTCAAGGGTTTATCCCAGGGTAGTGTCTCAAAGGACTGAGGCACAGCCACTACATGACATTCAGAAAGCTTTTAAGCCAAACCTCTCTTTCAAAAATGAGGAAGCCACTTGGGAAACGGAGGTCAGGTCAACAGTTTGACCTTTAGCTAGCAAAGCCATATTAGTGCAAGAAAAGGAGTCACCAGCCAGAAGGTTCACTTGAAGAAGTCAACTATTCAGTACTGTTCAGTATCTCCCCTGAAATGACAAGATGTCTTTCACCTCTGAGAACCACTTGACAATAACACCTAAAAATTCTTCCCATTTCCACAAAAATATGCAATACATAATATAATACACATTTTTTTATACATGGTATAAAATCTAAGATTCTCAGAAGACTCAAAAATTGCTTTACTTATTGATGTAGGTATCAAATATTAGAAGTGTTTTCTACAAGCCATTTTTTTTTGAGCGCGCACAGTTTAATGCTTCTTTTTTAAGATTAAAATTATTCATGAGAAAAAACTTCCTGGGACAAAATGTAACACTCCACCCAGCTCCCCTCCAGGGCCTGCCTTCAAAACCACTTGGGAAAATGTCTCTCTGCATGACCTTCCAAAGTATGCAAAGACATTTCATTTTTCTACTCTTTGATTGCATATTTATTTTCCTGTAACACTTATTTTTAATAAGCTGGTGTCAAACCAAAAAAGTTTCATTTTGTGAAAAGAGGAAAACTGTCCCAAGGAAACTGTTTCGAAAGCAATGTTCCATTCAACCTCAAAAAGAAAAATTCCCTAGTTTTATTTGAAATATAAAATTTTGGGGGTTCAAATTAAAATGGAAAATATTTTTACATGTCTATTTATTTATTTATTCCATTATAATAATTCAAATTATTTCCAGGTATGATTTTCATTTAATTAACCTAGAAGACACAAATAAATTTTAAAGAAGCATAAATATATATCTATATATATATTTATTGAGTAAATGTGGGTGTCTGAAATTATTTGACCAGTTCTATTCCCTTGGCATCCACACCTATGTGAAAACTACTGGAACATGGGCTACTCTTAGAGTGTGAAAAGGTCCACCACTTACCATTTGGTTGTTTCTACTTCAAAACAAGACCCTCAGCATCTTTTCAGCTTCAACTCCAATCTGCACATGGAGCAGGACTTATAAAAGTGAGAGACCCCGTGAGCGCTCGTGCATTTTGGGACCATTTGGGTTCATCTTGGGTGCAGCCCTGGCTGGGCTCTGGTGCTGCCCAAGGTGGACCCATGGAGGAGATCCTTTTCATAAATCCCTGCTTTATTCTGCAATTCCATCCAGCCTCTGCTCTAGGGCAGCCCTCACAAGGCATCAGCACAAGGCTCTGTGCTGGCCATGCCTGGTGGCTGCATCACACAAGCACATTCCATCTTACTTCCCTCTTAGTGCAACAATTCCCGATTTCCTCATTCACCTGAAGGGAGGCAAGGGGATTTGGCCTAACTTTCTTCATAGCAAGAGAAATCTGCTGAATTTCCCATCGTATCTCAAGACCTCTACACCCTGTGCCTCACTCCCTTTCTGAGCCCAACAAGCCACTCAGGCTGGTGAATAAAGTGGGCTACCAGCACAGGCCCATCCTGCACAATCCCAGTTTGCAGGATCTGGTAGAAATTTCAGGACCCTTCCAAGTCCAGCTACACAAACGTTTCCCACTGTCATGATTTGGCATGAGAGACATTTAGGGAAGAGAAGCAAAGCTTTGCATCACTTTCCTAAATGTCTCTTATGCCAAACTATGACACCCATGTGCTTGCAATTAAACATTTGATTTTAAACATCTGACCTGTCCTCACTGCAGGATAAGGTGGTGACAGAAATCCTAAGTTACTGCTGTCATTGCCCTTTGTATTTTTCTTAATACTACCACCAAAATCATCAAATTTCTCATTAAATTTTGATTTAAACCAAGACTGCATGCAGCTTTGTGACTTGCACCTTATTAATCCAAGTGTCCCATTTTTCCATTTGTGGAAATAGGAAAATTTCCATTGTGTGAGCCACCTCAGGTGGCTCAAAGCCCTGGTGTCAAAGCATGGACCTTCCAAATGTCAGCAAAGGACTGGTCAGTGAGAAGCATAAAGAATATTTCACATTAGCTGGCTAAATGCCATGACATGTATCCCTAAGACTACCATTGCCCTTTTCTTTCTAGCTCCTCCACCTCAGAAGTGAAAACATAACCTCTTCACTGCCCCTTTTGAAGCTAAAAGCAACTCAGCCAGCAACACTCATTGTCTAAATGTGACTTGTTTAGTCTGGCACCCGTGAAATGCAGGTATGACAGGCATTCTACTGTAATATCTGGGAGAATTAGAGTTCCTTAATCTATCTTCAGTCAAAACAAATAAATGTGTTTTTTATTAAAATCTGTCAGAAAACATTTGGAAATTATTTTCATTGCTCCCCTATTAATTCTGCTTTAGAAGCATTCAGTGCCACTCAGGTCTTCTAGAAACAGGCATGACTTCATTGAAATCAAAAGGTGGAGTTCAAAGGATTGATTTCTCCTTTGTCACACCTCATGCATGCTCCTTCTTTAATCCAAAATGTTAGATATCACTGGAATCATATATTACCAACA